ATTATTGGGCTTCATAAACAGGAACGGGCTCTGTGTGTGTGTGTCTGTGAGATAGCAATAAGGGCTTGACCTGCAGACAACCCCATGGAGGACGTTATACAACATAAAGCAGAGATGCTGATGTTTACATACAGCCAGAAACTGCGGTCCAATATGTGAGCGAATCTACCAACCAGTACACAGACCTGAATTTTATTGTGAGATTTGACAACATAACACAGCTGAAATGAAATGTTTTATAAGCTTTCTATCTGTAAAAGACTGAATTTCAGCCAGTGTGGATGAATTAAACCCCTTGTGCAATGCCATCAACTGAAAGCTGCACCATTGTTCAGTCCCAGTCACTCAGTCATAAGCTCAATATCAAAAAGTCAATATAGCTTTGCTTTCTAAAGGTAGTTGTGTTTAGAAGATATGGCACTACACCTCCTGTGGAGGGTTATTCAATAGCAGCTGCACTAATGAAATTAAACAAAAACCTCAAAGTCATAAAAGTCTGATCGATTTTGACTTTAAATATATTGTTGGACTAAACCGAATGAAATGGACCGTTGGGGATCAACTATATATGTTACAAACTATTGCCACCTGGTGGTGAAATGATGTAGCACTACAAAACACAACCCGCTGATGATACCTCAGATGGATGACATAAGAAAAACCTCAATAAAGAGTAAGATAAAAACAGGCAGATGCTTCCACACCGGCCAAGCAGGGACAATAACTGGTTGTATTAGAATAAAACTGATGTGAATAATTTGCTATGGCCTTCATAATCACCATATCTCAACCCAATTAAACACCTATGGTAGATTTTGGACCAACATGTTAGACTGCACTCTCCACCATCATCAAAACACTAAATAAGGGAATGTGTTTTGGACTTTTGTTGCTCAGTTATATTCCAATTGATAATCCCACGTTAGTCTATATATATATATATATATATATATATATATATAAGTACATTCCTCACCCACTCAATTTTAAAACTGGTCACAGGAGGAATTAAATGTATGTGTCTGAAACATGCAAGGAAGAGGCTGGGTATATGATCTCTACATACTGTGACCAGAACATGGCCCACAATGGGTTTCTGAGGAACATCCTTAGTAACATCATCAATGTGAAAACAGGACAGGCACATTATACAGTATTCAGTCAGGAGCTTGAATAGTTATTGAGAGGTATTAGCCTTTTCATCTTAAGCTCACTGTGGCTTTAGAGGCAGCAGATGAGAAAGAAATACAGTACATGTAACCTTTCAAAACAGACTGACAACCAGCCTCTAAAGCTCTCATTATTTTATGTTTTATGTGTTCACGTCAGTTATAGATAATATGTTTCATCATATTCTCATGTCACCAGGTGGAGGTGCTAATGAATATTCTGGAGGCTCTGGAAAATCTAAAAAAGGATCTCCTTGCAGCCGTCAAACACTAGAATTGCCTTGTATGACCTTTGAGAATAAAACATGCCTTACACTCATCAGCCATAACATTATGACCACCTGGGCCCCCTAGTGGGCCTGACAGGTACCATGATAACAAGATAATCAGTGTTATTCACTTTACCTGTCAGTGGTCATAATATTATGGCTGATCGGTGTATATGAGATAAGAAATACTTTGTCTTGTGGACACCAACTTCTTTCAGAAACCTTTGAGTGTGACAGTTCAGGAGCAGGTCTGCTCACAATGCTTCTTGCTGTCAAGTTGGATCCCTCATCGTCCACAGGGGCCATTGACTGAGAAGGTCACAGTGAGTGAATATTTTCACTCATAAAGTCAGGTGTGCTGATATTGTAAATGCAGCTATGCAGGATTCAATGTGTGACCCAGCTGTACTTTAAACAATGTCCAAGGAAAAACACTGTATCTAGTTAACTAGCAAACTGCTGGGCAAATCGCTAAATTTCTTTCGGTGGTTATGATTTTAAGTACTTCTATTTGTTAGTTTTACTGTTTTTAAAAAACAGATTAAAAAAAACCCCGAAACATTAAACAATAAGCACAAACAGTCCTACCTTAATAGTTTGGTTCGTCATCCGTTTCTCCGGATTCCGTAATTTCCGACAGTTTTCGACGACATTTAAATGCAGCAGAGCCGTTTGAGCGCCAAAGGACAGAGCCCCTGTTTATAGACAAATACACATAAAATATATAACTTAACGTTACATAACGTTATATTATGTCTATGGTTCGGTGGTAGAGTGAGCGAGGTTTTGAGAAAACCAAAAGACAGACAAAGACAAAGACAGGAAGCTGAGGAGGTTTTATTACGCTTGGTATTCAGTGCTAGTTACTGTTACTAGCTAACGTTGATAAGCTAACGAGGACTGTAGCTAACATTATGTTTAGGAAGAAGTCTGCCTGGTTTTCAAGCAGTGTGCCTCAGGGATGCCACAACTTCTGGAGTAAGTAACCTCTTATTTTAGCTCGTTAACCTACGAGTTAGATCACTTTATATCACCAAATAATGTTGGCTAACTGTATTATTAATTTAATCGTTAGTAGGTAATAGCATGCTTATGTAATAGGTAAGCTAAGACACATTCATGCTGCCACTAACATTTTATCAGGTTAACATAATTAACTCACTTAAAAAAGGAAAAATACTGCCACAAATCTGGATTTAAATTAGACGTACACTTTTGATCTTTTGGTCATAATATATTATGTTTCCTGTAGTATTGGAGGGTGGGTCCATTACTGGTTGGAGAGCAGCAGATTACCTTTTCAGTGAGGATGCTTCATGTCCTGATACTCGGAGGTGAGCCTGATGAAGAACTGCAGGTTAATCACCTACATCAAGTCACTTTTTCTGTAATCCCCTCAAAGTGATAATTTTAGTTCTGTTTTTTTTTTTCAGGATATTTGAGAGCAGAGATTACCTTTGGAACAACGTGGTGGTTTTTCACAGCTTGTTTCTGTCTGCCTGTGAGAAGCGCCAGAGCGTAAAGTCTGTGTGCATTGGTCATTATGTGCTACCTCCAGCCTCAGTACAGGATGGTGAGTGCAACTATATGTATATTGATTCACTGTAAACTAAACATACTGAAACAGTGAGGGCCCAAGATAAGTCTGACGGGTTGCATGATGATCAACAAGACAGGAAATGAGAAAAAAACATATTTCATATTGGTTTTTTTTTTTTTTTGCTGTTAAATCCTGGAAAGTTTTACCTCTTTCGGTCTCTTAAAACTATTTAAAGGGACCAGTTTGGTTGAACTATTGTGTTAAAGAGTCACAAATACGTTGGTGATCATTCTAATGATTGATTAATTTAAAAGCAAACCAATTTTATGAATTATCTCTCATGCCGTGTCTCTCTGATTATCATTTAAGAGGTGAGGAAGGTGGTTGGGAGGTTGATTTGGGAGTGTGAAGATGAGCAGTCAGTAGCACAGGTACAAGTACAAATACACCACGATACAGAATTTACACAAAAGAAGATCATGTAAATTACTTTAATCACCTTAACTGGACTTTTACAGGGTTCCTATAAGAGTTTCAGTTGCCAGACAGAAGATGAGCACAGTGAAAAAGGAGTCAGCGTTAACAAGTATGTTAAGTTTACACTGTAAATATTTACAAGTGGAATTCAATAGATTGCAAACTGTCCAGTAAACTAATTTAGTCCCTGCTTACTCTTTTGGCAGTTCTGAACCACCTGACACAGACTCATCAGAAAGTGACGCCCCTCTATGTGGTCATTTGCAGGATTATCCAGTTAGTAACATGTTTACAGGTAAAAACATTTATTACCATTTACTGTAAGATCTTTGAGAAAAATGTCTCTACTTGTTTCTTATAAGATAATAATACATAACTGATGTGTATTGAAGGTCTGGTGTGGAGCTGCAACATTTAATCAATTGGTTGTCAACTATTAAAGTAATTGACAACTATTTTGATAATCAGTTAAATCGTTTTTAAATAAATTTATTTATTTTTTTAGCTGCTCAGATGTGAATATTTTCTGGTTTCATTAGTCTTCCATGACAGTAAACTTAACATCTTGTGGTTGTGGACAAAACAAGACATTTGAGCATCGTTACTTTGGATTTTGGGAAACATCTTTTCTGACATTTTATGGACCAAGCGACTAATCGGTTAATTGAGAAAATGATTTACAGATGAATCGATAGTTAATATAGTTCGTTATTTGCAGCCCTATTCTGGTGCAGTCAACATTTAGATTATGAAACAGCTGATGGAAGAAGTTTCTTCTGTTTTTTCTGTTGTTATATTCACTACAGGGTACACCAACATGGACAACCTGCAGAAGTACTCTGGTGATTTGTGTGATTTCCATCCCCTGTGTTTCCGATGCACCAACTGTAAAGCCCATTGCTGTTTGCCACACACATAAGCAAACATGTATGAAGAGAAAAACACGTTTATTTTACTGGCAGATGAGTTTGTTTTTTAATGTTTACATTATCTACCTGCATGTGTTTATGTAGTGTACATGAATACATAAAATAAAATGGAAAACATAACTAACGCTAATCTCATTTTGTAAGTGTTTTATCCTCCTAACATATTCCCTAATCTTACATGTGTTACATTATCTTGAGAAATATCATAATTCTGTACAATTCATACAAAAACATATCAGGTACTTCATTTAAATCAGTTTCAACTTCCTAAAATGTGTACTTATTTAACAACAAACTCAATAAACTGTGTCCAGGTTGCCCTCAGTATAAAGAGCCTGCTTTCTACTCATCGTATTGGACTAAAGGAAGTTGAAGGGTTTCCTTGCTTATTACAACTTATAATAAATAACAACATAATATAAACATAATTCACGATAACATAGACTAATAGTAACAGTTACAAGTAATGTAATGAATGCAGTATACTTATTTATTTATTTTACGTGGCCGCGGTGTTGGGTCTTCCCCTCGGTCACCCCTACAAAGTGGACTGTTCCGCGGGTGTTCAGCCAATCACATGCTTTGTTTTGGTACCGGCCCCAGTATCAGGAAGGTGAAGCTTGCAGCGAGTGCTTTCTGTACTTTGACTCTGACAGAAGTCAGAAACAGGTCTGAGATTAGTCTTTGGACGCGGACTCTCGTCTCCACCGTGTTTTCAGCTCAACGTTACATCTGTCATGGCGCAGGGAAATCTGTCCGTGGTTCTGCACGCCCAGGGAGACCTCCGTCTGGTAGGAGACCGACCACAAACATGTTACCTTTTGCATGGGACGATTAGTTGCAATCTTTGTGAATTAAACTGACTGCAAACTTTTTGCATTTTGTTTACAGGAAAAGCGTCCCGTTCCGGAGCCTGGACCTAATGGTACAGTGTGACATAATAAATAGTTTATAAGCCACTTAAACAAGCTTTCCAGAATATGTGGGGACGTTATTTATAAGCTTTTAATCATTTAAGGTTTAATTCAATGCAATGTATCAATCCAGTTAACTTTCTCAGTTTCAAAATGCTTCAGCTCCATTTATTTTCCTATAGAAGTATATCTTTGTAAATAAATTATCTTTGAGTCAGCTTGTGTCAAGTCTAATGCACTGCATAGATATTTGTAACAGATTTTCAATTCCATCTGGTCAGTAGTTTGCTTAGAAAATAGACTGAGTTGCCTTTTTTTGCCTCATTTATATGCTGAACAAATGACACAATGCATACCCTCTTACTGCATCAGTCAGTACTGCACCATCCTCACTGTGTCCCTGTCTTATATGTCATGTTTTGTACCCAGAGGTTTTGCTCCAGATGCACTCTGTTGGAATCTGTGGATCAGATGTTCACTACTGGCAGCATGGCCGGATTGGGGACTTCGTGGTCACAAAACCAATGGTGCTGGGGCACGAGGCGTCAGGGCGGGTGGTGAAGGTCGGATCAGCAGTCAAGCACCTTAAAGAAGGTAAGTGGGTGAGTGGTGTGTGTGTCTGAGGGCTGTGAAGAGCAGTGAGTCATGCAGTGTGCACTTCAGAAATCTGTCACTCTGTTAAAGTTGACACACTTTGACATTTCAACCATTTTTATTTTCTAATTCAAAAAGGGTATATTACTTATGTCAACTCTGGTTATTTTACGAACTGTACCTGCAGAGACATACATGTATTTAAATATATGCATTCACAGCACATCATTTTGATGCAAGGAGCCACTTAGTCCTACTCAGTCTTACTCAGCCACACTGCAAAGGAGTTACCTGTATAAACTCATCCAAGGCTGTAAACTTCACCTTGTATTTTTATTTATTTTTTTAGGTGACAGGGTGGCCATTGAGCCAGGTGTGCCACGCGAGATGGACGAGTTCTTCAAAAACGGACGATATAATTTGTCTCCTACCATCTTCTTCTGTGCCACACCCCCCGACGATGGAAATCTGTGCCAATACTACAAGCACAGTGCCAACTTCTGTTACAAGTAACAGTTCACTCAGGATTTCATGGTGTTGCACCAGAGATTACCTAACAACTGTCTGATGTCTGACTGCCAACTGACTCTCTTGCCTAACCTTTGCATGTATCTTTGTCTTTCTTCTTCTTTTCTCTCTGTGACTCCCCCCCAACAATCAAGGCTGCCTGATAATGTGACATTTGAGGAGGGAGCTCTAATTGAGCCTCTGTCTGTGGGGATCCACGCCTGTCGCAGAGGCGGCGTGACCCTCGGCAGCACCGTGCTCATCTGTGGTGCAGGTAAAAATGAGCCAAAACTATTTAACTCACACAATTGCACAAGACTTTTGTTGGGATATTCCATCAACAAGACACGACAGGCTGCATTTCGGGGCATGCCGCAAACTAATATAAACAGGGTACTCTACTTGAGTGGCATGCTGCTGCAAGTAAGGAATCTAATATAACACTCAGTGGGTATAGTCCCAAAGTGAGAATCATACTGACTCAACAAAACTTCAGTCTGGGAAAAACTGCTGAACCTTAGTGCACCCTGTAAATATTAAGCACCTTGAGACTTAATATTTAACAACTCCTTTACTATATGTAATGAAAACAAGCTAATGAATATTTAAGATGCCTGTGTTAAGCAATATGAGACATGACATATAATGAAGCTCTTTTCAAGCTTTAAAACATGTTAATAATCACAACTGTTAGGTTGTCAGATATTTAACCCACTCTACAGACTCTTTATTTCCTCTCTTTCCACAGGCCCTATTGGATTGGTCTGTTTGCTCGTTGCCAAGGCAATGGGGGCCTCGCAGGTCGTCATCACCGGTAACACACAGTTTATAAACATCTGTGTCAACTAGGGCTGCCCAATTAATCTAAATATTATCAAAATTGCAACATTGCCTAGTGCAATATCCTAATCTGGCCTACAAATCTTTTTTTTTTTCAAATCAAAATTTGTTTGGGTCACATTTTAATTGTTTTTCTCAGTGAAAATTAAATTGTGAATCATATTGAAATATCTGTTTAATTACAATACCATAGATTTTTTAACATACTGTGCAGCCCTAATCTCAATTTAAATGACTTAATAACACAACATACAGATTCTGGCAGCAGCTTGAGTTCAGTCTTTTTTTAACTTTTGTTCACAAATCCACCTTTGCTGTGTTCAGATCTGTCCACAGAGCGCCTGACAATGGCCAAGGAGTTGGGTGCAGACTTCCAGCTGACAGTGAAGAGAGAAAATGGACCCCAGCAGCTGGCCAAGAGTGTAGAGGACATGCTGGGTGCTCAGCCTCACATTACTATTGAATGTACTGGCGTTGAGAGCAGCATTCAAACTGCCATCTATGTATGTGACTAACTTCAGTAAAGAACATTTAAAGCTGTATTCAGAATTATAAAGTAGATCTGCACTAGGACAATAGTACATTTACTCACTGTACTTACAATTTTGCATTCAATGTGCATAACACACATTATAACACACATTATAACACACAAAGCTCCTTTCAAGCTGCAAAACGTGTTTATAATCACATTATTAGTGTATGTCTTGAAGTGTTAGGTTGTCAGATATTTAATACACTGATAATGTATACTGATCTTGTACTTAAATTGAGTATTTCCACCACATGCAGCTTCAACTCTACAACAATTATCTGACAGATTTAGTTACTTGTTGCACAGATTGCGTTATAGATTAAACTACCCAACAGTCTATAAAATAGTTAAAATTGGCACAGTAACACACTGCTTGCATGTTAATACATAATATTCTAATATATAATAATATGGTACTTATGATACTTTTAGTTTGTGGTATTGCTGTTTTAACTTTAGTAAAAAATCAGCTTGTTATTTATATTATACTCTACTCACTCTGAAGCATAAATAAAGCAAAAAGTTTCAGTATCTGCAGATGAAATAATCCAGGTTATAATTTATTATTTTATTTTCTGTCAGTCGACACGTTCAGGTGGTGTGGTGGTGCTGGTGGGCCTTGGTTCTGAGATGGCCACTGTTCCTCTGATCAATGCTGCTGTAAGAGAAGTGGACATCAGAGGGGTTTTCCGCTACTGCAACACGTAAGACAATATCCTTTAATTGTTGTTCTATAAGCAGATGTCTTAAAGCAAAGTTGAAGGCAGTTCCACTTGTGAGTTATCTTACAGGATAATTAGGTCATAGAGTAATTTGTGTATCACAGAAGTTTAACTCTTGAGTAAAATGTTTGTCTCTGTGTTGCAGCTGGCCGATGGCTATAGCTATGTTGGCATCGGGTAAAGTGAACGTGAAGCCCCTCGTGACCCACCGTTTCCCTCTGGAGCAGGCAGTCCAGGCCTTTGAGACCACGCGTCAGGGTCTTGGGATAAAGGTCATGTTAAAGTGTGACAAGAATGACCAGAAGCCCTAATCTGACCCTCTGCAGTGAAACAAACCTGACCGACTCAGAGCAACTCAGCATGGCAGGCACAAACTGGACATTGACCCTATGAAAGATAACCAAGCTAGTTCAAAGAGACACACTAATAACGGACAGCACTTTGAACTGACTGCTCTACTGCCTGCAGGCCAGAGATGTAATTAGCATCCAATGGTACGAGTAATTATTTTATGATGCTCAACTTTGTTTTATAACCAACATTTTGTTTGATGATTGTATATAATTTAAGGTTTTGCTCCATTTTACATTAATTATGATTTTACAAACAGTTACTATAGTAAAAGAAAATCTTTAAATGATAAAATTAAAAACAAAATGTGAATTATTTCTTGTTTATATTTCATTCTCACAGGCCCTGCAGTACCTAACAGCAGACATTAGGGGGAACTAGAGACTCAGAGTGGAAATGTATAGCAAAATCTTCATTCTCCATACTAATAGTGCATTATTTGTACTATATATGAATCTTTCCATGCAGTTAGTAAACAAGAAATACATACACACCATTTTATATCAACAGGAATATTAATCAATAATGCCACTGCCAATTAAACTTCACAGAAAGAAAGCAGAGTAGTCTTCCAAAGATTTAATACGTTTTTATCTTCTCCAAAGTCTTTCTGTAGCTTTATTCTGCAATGTATTCTAAAATTTGCATCCATAGGTAGCTCCTAGTGTGTGACATCTAGTAACTCCTACAATGAAATAGCCCAGGGGAAGGCAACTTGCAGCTTTTTATCCCCTCTCCAGTTGCTCCTTGTGGCTTTCACAAAACATTATATGGAAACATATAACAGTTATTTTTTAACATTATCATAGCTGTAAGCCTAAAGTGATTCTTACATTCTCCAACTGTAAAAATATACAGCCATTACACACAGATTAAAAAAGGGTTTAACATTTTGTCAGCTAAAATGTGCTCATACATTACGTCCTGTCTTTTCTTGTCTTTTCCTCTATATTTTGCCAGACCTCAACAGCAGTGACTATTAGTCTTAAATCTTACTAGCTAGGATAGCTATAGATTCTAAATCAAAAAAAAGAAAAAAACAGTCTCAGGGGAAAATCAACAGACTTGTTTCCTTCCAATGCTGCTGGCTAATCTGTATGCTTGGTCTGCTGCGAGAAATTTGCATTTGAAGTTAAAGCTGCGGCTCCAGACAGATTTTGGACAGAAATGGCTCTGTTGATAGCAAAGGTTGCTGATCCCTGAAATAACCTGATTAATCAGGCTGAAAGTAAAAGTCTTATGAAAGCAAAATTAGGAGACAAGTAAAAAATGTCAATTTACTGAGGATTAAGAGATTTAAATTTCATCCTACAAAGCAAGTCCAACTTTTAACTTTAAACTTTTAATTACGAGACAGTAAGACATAATTTTGACTTATCATTTTATTTTCATCATGTCTACGTTTTTTTCTCTTCTTTTCCTAATAGCAGTGGGCTCCCATAGAAACAGACGAATCACTCTAGTCAGTGCCCAGACTACGCTTTCATATGGAAAATCCAACCTCTGACAGAGTCCGTCTTTGGGTTTGATCCAGTCCAGAAAAACCAGCCAGGTTTAGCTCAGATTTTATTATCTTGCCACAATGACATGATACTACTTTACGAGGCATGCACACAGATAATGTTCATATGGTTAAAATTTACTACAATGCATTGTAAAACCATTACTCGGTGGTAAGGCTTGTTTCTGTCACAGTGTGTGATTCACAGTTCTCTCTTTCCCTCTCAAGACTGAAAGCCAACATACAGGTGGGAAGATGTTTGCGGTGACTAAACCTGTGTGTGTTTTTTTTGTTTGTTTGTTTTTTTTTAACATGAGCACAATACGAGACAAGTTTCTCTTTATGTACAGACATTCTAATACTGCTTATGGCAATGGGACAGCTCACACAACACAGTTACATTCACAATCCGCTCATAGTATGCATGAGTTTCAGTCAGGAACACTAAAGATGAACATACAGTAGAATAGCACACAAAAGAAACTTCATTTTTCATACATGTGACTTTGATATCAAAAGCATAATTAATGCATGTTAATAGTTATACTCAGTTGCTTGTTATTTAAATGTGTGAGTGTTTGTACGTGAGATTTAGAAAAGATTTATCTTGCCATTCAGAGGTTGAACTTGTGTATTGCCATATAATGAAGAAAATCAAAAGGATATGGCATTTCTCCCATAAACCCCTGCTGCAAGCATTGGTTTGATTCACATGTACATTATGTCAACTTAGCATATTTAAACCCAACATTTCAAACACTTAACTCATTTCCCCTTTTCACTGGCCAATACGATGATTTTCGGCGTCTGCCGTCATTCAATTCAACAGCAAGATTCAATAAATATTTACAATGCAGCTGTGGCCCCTCCCTCCCCACTGCTTTAATCACAATATTAGCAAAATATGTATTTACATGAGAAATAAATAAAAAGAGAAGAAAATGAAACTATACAAGTAGTATAGTAGAAGTATCATATTGCATTACATGAATATAAAAAAATAAATTGTGATGCATTCGCTCGATAAGTTCGTCCACACAATCTCACTGAAGTGACACAGAAGAGCACATACAGGACAAATAAATAACAAACAGTATACACACACACACACACACATACACACACAGTCTCTCCAGCTGATCAGATGGAAAAAGCGTTGCGTGTCAATAAAATGGCTGTTTCATGTTTAGCACAGACAAGGGGAAGAGATGATGAAGAATTGAAGTCATCAGCTCAAAGAAAGAAAAAAATTAAAATGAATCGACAGGGAGAAGCGATCGCCCCCCCCCCCCTCCAGTCACTGATCAGCTTTGTTTGCCACGTAAGTTAAACCAATCACAGCCGACAGCCTGTCCTGTGGAGCGGTCCCTGGCCATTGTTTATATGTACATAGGAGTCTCCTGTCCTGTTAGAAGTCTGAACATGGCTGCCGGCATGGTCTTCATGTGAATCTGGCAGAGAGAGACAGAAAAAGACAAAATCTCATATAAAAAGGCATCTGAGTGTTTTCTTAGATTATGTCATGCGGTTGAAGTTTGTGTGTGTGTGTGTGTGTTTGTGATTAATGCAAGAGAGCACACCTGGTACTTATTAGCTGCCTCTTCCTGACACCTCTACCTGCTGCAGCTAGAAATCTATACTGTGACGGCCCCTGCCTGATCTGCTGATATGCGGATGTGGTGGACAAGTTACTGTTTTTCCTATGTGTCCTTGAAGGTACCATGCAGCAGCCAGCCACATGTGGAGCACTTGGGCCAAGCTTTCCTACAGGATAAAAACCACAGCCCAGCTTTGCTCTCATCTCGCTCCATCCCCGCCAGCATTAGCAAGCTTTCAGCTTTTGTTTGACTTTTTGTTTTGTTTCCACAGCTACACCTCATACTGCTCACGCACCCACACACGCTCACCACTAATCTTAGGGACCGAAACAACGCAGTTAACACCTAAGTTGTTTAATTTACTGTCATAAATACATTAATTTCACTGTGTTAATTTCTGTATTTCTCATGGCCTAGAAGCTGGATTATGAAAATACAGCAGACTTAAATTATCCCACAATGCAACATAAAACGTATTGTCAAATTGATGGTCACTAAACAAGATTTATCTACCAACATGCAGTGGGCAGACAGTTAAAAGAGGTTAATTTAGATGTCAGCTGGGTGAGAGGAATGACCTCAGTAGTTTTTGATTTTGCCTTTCATACACTATTTAGTCATCCACACAGAAATCACAGAGCAGTGAATATTTATTCCCCGTTAGCTTCAACACAGTGGTCACTAAGTCTTCCTGGGGTCCGGTAGTAAATAGTGAATGACTGAATGATTTCAAAGACAGACTCTCAGAGACTCTCAGACTCTTGTAAAATGAGTACCCAATAACTAAATATGTAACCCGTATACACTATTTTTCTATACAGTGTAATTAACTGACTTTTATATATAGTTATAGTTAAAAGATATTTGCTGCATATTTGCAAATGTGTATATTTCTATGTTAATGTCCTGTGTGTGTGTGTGTGTGTGTGTGTGTGTGTGTGTGTTTGTGTGTGTGCGTGTTTGTGTGTGTGCATCAGTTTAACCTCTCCAACAGAGTTCGACAGGGCCTGGACAATCTTCTCGTGTGCTGTGGCCACCACACTCTGCCCATTGATCTCTATGATCCTGTGACCCACACGGACCCCACCTCGCTCAGCAATGCCTCCTCGCATCAGACTGCAAATCTGACAGGCAACACAGACATGGAAGTCCTCATGTTATCGGCATTTTAGATGAATAGAGAGTAATTAATACCACTGGAAGGGTAAAATGTCGGCAGTGATACGTGATGGCATCTGAAATCGAGACTGCGAGGTTACAAGAGATAGTTTACTTGTGAAAAACAATGATACACTGATTGCTAAACATATTTGGGTTTTTAGCAGGGATTGCAGTGTATATTGTTCAAGGCAAAGCAGCAATTTATCACAACACTGCAAATGACACTGTTTCTTCAGTAGTGAACAGATTAATCTAAGACATGCACATGCTGTATGGTACCAATAGAAAATATATCAACAACTAAAGTTAATTATTTGTAAATGAGAAAAACACAAAAAAAGCAGTACTTTTTAATTATGTTTTGAAAAGTGTTGTATTATTACTAATATCCAAGCAACCAACCTACATGCTCAGACTCATACTTACAATGCCGTTCTGGACACTGAAGCCCAGCTGATACTTTAGGTCTGGTCTCTTAATGAGGACGGTGGTAACAGGAGGGCAACTAACAATGTTCATTTTCACCTGAACCTGGTTCTTCAAGCCCTTTAACACCATAGAAACACACAAACATAAAAAGCTTGTTCAGTTTTACAGAATTTGTGTTAATTCCATATCATCACTGCCTCTTTCACTCCTTCAGCCACACTGTTGTGTACATCTTCAGCGTCTCTGTACCTTAATGATTCCCTGACAGGTGGCGAGTGGCAGCCCCACTAGGCTGGTGTTGTTGATGGACATGATCTGGTCTCCGATGCTGAGCTTGCCAGAGCGAGCTGCTGGCCCGCCGTTCATCATGTTGGCTAATATAACTGTGGGCAAAATGGAGCCCCAGCCAGACTCCACAATCACCACACCCAGGATCTCCCCTTTACTCTTCTCCAGCTGCAGCTGTGGAGAGGGAAAGAGAGTGGAGGACACACTTTGTATGTCATTTATCATACACAGAAACTGAGCGACTGTAATTAAAACTATATGACTAGAGTAAACTGATAACTGACTGATTTTGATTTTTGAGATCACAAAAGTGTCAAAAACAGTCTGTTTGCATCAGT